ATGGTGGAAAAATACACCGAAACGTATTTTAATTGATAAATAAAGACAATAAATGACTGAAACCCACGAATTAATTTTGATTTGGAATTAAATGTTATTGAAACTTGTGCAAAGTGATCAGGTTGTAAACTAGCAAACGTGTGTGAAGGAAAGTGCTGTAGAGTCTAAACCTGATCAGCTAGAAGTGTGAATTTTTTTCTTATTCATTTCTAGAAAGCGTCTTAATGATGCGCGAAATTTCGTTTCGTGGGATTTGGCAGGAAATTTTTGAGAATTTTTCAAAATCCACTTTACAGAGAAATCGACGTTACTCAATGCAAACGTGCAAATAAGAACAAAAGTACAAATAATAACATCTGGAGGAGTCGCTTACGCGCGCGTTTCAACCCAAGAAATGTAAAAATACAATTAAAGAGAAACATTGGTGATAGAATAATCAAACAAGATCACATTATAAAGGTATTTGAAAAAACCCGAGCAAAAAAGGCAAAACCAATTTGAAAACGGAACATGTGCCAACAAGCAATTACGAGCAGAAAAGTGTTCTTAAGTTTTATAATCAGGCAACTAAACGGGCAATTAATTCGGGGCCACAACAACCTTCGGAACCTGTCACTCGTTAAGTCAAATAGATTCACGGAATATTATCTATAATCTGTTATTAAATCATTTCTGTGCCTTTCATGGCTGCCATTTAGGCATTACAAATCTGCGATCCTGCAGCCAGATAGCGCCAGGCCACGAGAAACCGGTGTGTTGCCCAAATTATCTCGAGAACCCCCCGTTGTTCTTTTACGTGGAATAAGGGTCCAAACTGTACCTTTTCCGAGGGCTTAACATGTTTATTATTTGTTTATTTCCATTGTAGCTGTAATTAACCTTGCCTGCTTGCCTACTGACCGAAGATTGATATCTTTTTTATATTCCAACCACTTTAAATCGTTTATACTCGCTTTGGGCGCGGTAAAATGTATGTAAATTCATAACTATCTTCATAAAACCACATTTACAAAGCCAAATTAATGGAAACAGAATTTCCATCGGGAACTGTCACAAAAGCAAAACAGTTTATTTTCTACAGAATTTTTTATAAGGATTATAAGTGATGTGAACCTTGTAACCAGTGGGAATCAGTTTATTTCCAGCTTCATTCTTCCTCTTTAAAAAAAGCGATTTTCTACCAAAAAAACAGTTTTGTGTGTTCCAATTCCACATGGTATATGGCGTGCACCATAAGAACTTTTCCAACAGGTGCAGAACTCGTAGATCAGACATTTTTTTTGTATCAAAAGTAGAGCTTTGAAATAAACATTTTTAAAAATTTATCGCAAGTGACTGAAACCCGTTTTCTTCATAGTTTGAAGTCTAAATTAATTTTTTTCTGCGTGGATCATATTTTGTTGCTCTTGAGGAAAATAAGAGAGCATTTCCACTCGCTATGCATGATTTTAGAGCCTCACAAGGCGTTTTCATGTTGTTTTTCGGTATTTTCCCGTCGTAATCGCGAATCTTTCTCGAATCAACAACGATTTTTGTATGGAAATAAATCAGACAAACTCAATCAGCACTTTTAACTAATAAGCAAAAAACTGAAAACGAGAAAATAAATGTGAGTCAAAGATATTGAACAAGAGTTTCTAAATTTATCAAGTTAATATCTAGTACCAACTTCGAGTGTCGAAAATCGAAGCAGCATAAAAGGTGGCAACAAAACAAAGGAAAACGTTTGATAAAGCGAAAATAACACAGTTTCCTTTGGAGAAGATGTGAAATACTAAAAACCAACTTTTGAGAAAAAATTACATTGGATAAATTTGTGTATTTCCCTACTGATTTTTTCTTCATTACCAATCAATGCACACTTTATGTGCTCAAAAACGCCCATATAATTATGTATAATATTATGAGAGTGACATGTTAAAACTGGCCCCCAACCTTTAATCAATCTATCAACTTGATATAAACACATACATAAATAATACTGGTTACTTATTTATAATGACGCTGATGCTGATTAAGTTTGACTGACTGTTACGACTCAATTTTCATATACTTAATGCCATTTCCTATATTAAATTCAACATGGAAAGGCTATAATTAATATCTACTTACAAGATTTTTTGAACTGTTATTTTGCAACTTCACCTAATTTCTTAAATAATTTTCATTAGTGTGATGTCCTTAGTTGTGCTTCTCGAAACTAAAATTCAACTGTTTAAGCAAATATGAATGAATTTACAACGAAACAAAATTAATGAATCTTAGAAACTTTTGGAGAAGGCAAATATAGTTTCCCGTTTTAAAGTTTCTGTGAGTTGCTGGCAACGGGTTGTTTTCATCGCGATTTTAAGGCTCCATGAGCTGATCAATTTCCCTTAAAACTGTTGGCAGTTAGAGCAGACTTTACGTCTAGACAGCTACAGTTAAAGCATTAAAAGAGATTCGTACTTGTTGCAGTTTTACACATTTTTGAGTTTAGCTTCAGTTCTGTTCCTATTTTTATTCCTTTCCTTCCTTTCACATCTAATTCATTCAGCTGCCCTTTTATTTTGCTTACAACATGAAGGTAATGTTATCAAACCGTTGAAATATTCCAGGAATTCTTCGAAAAACCATACGCGACCCTGTAATATCCGTGTATTTTTTAAGTGGTACTAAAGAACCAATTACACATTATAAAAGTTCACAAAATACTTAAACAAGCAATCACAAATTTAAGAATGTAGAAAAACCGTTATAGTTGATTAAAAAAATTAAAATAAAACCGCAATATTACTTTATTACAAGTAGTAACCGACCGGGTTCCAAGCAATATGACTCAGAGTATTACTTGTAGCAATAAAAAGGCAAAAATCGACCAAACCACACAGTTTCTCACGGTTCAAATTCATGGTGAAAAAGCCGTAAAAAAAATAAGGCAGAACGATAAATTTCCGTGGCAATTAAACACCTCCTATACATGTCCAGATTGATGTAATTATCATTTTATTTCACACTAATAAAGTGAAAAATAAATTAAAATGTATATGGTGCCTTAAATGTTATTAGAACATGTACGACATCAGAATAATTACGGGAATTTGTGTTAGTTTGCTTGTTGATGAGCAATCTGGTTGATGAATTGATTAAGCCATCAACTACTTGCAGATCTGGGACTTTTTGCTCAAAAAGGGGATGGTTGAAGTCGAACCTTTTTTCATATAAATTGGTCGTTTGACAATTTTATGTTTTATATATAGATACCTAACTGCTTATTAAAATTGCATTAATTATTAGGTATACAATTTAATCACATTTCAGAATTAAGGACAGGAAATAAGTTTTAATAATTAGAGTAAAATTTCAAAGCTTCGCCAGCCAACAGCAACTTTTTTTAGTGCAACTTCAGTGCTTAAATGCCTAAAAAAACTGATACTTTTCTTAGCCTTCATATCGGGAGTTATGGGATTGATTCCTTTTTATATTGCGGTTATTGGATGAACTGGATTACAAATTTTCCAAAATTCGTTAGGAAATCTGAACGGGTTAAATACTGAGAAATGTAGAGGCGTTATTTTTACCTTCTTTATACCAATTCATTCACGTGCTGTCGATTCTAAACCTGATGAGCCACAAGTTGGAAACTTTTTTCACGTGTACTTCTGGAAAGTTTCCTAATGATGAGAAAATTTCGTTTCGTGAGATTTGGCAGAAAGATTTTCAGAAATTTTCAAAATTTACTGCACAGAGAAATCCAAGTTGCTGGTCAGCTGGGAAGGAAGGTGCTGTAGATTCTAAACCTGATGAGCTAGACGTTTGGAACTTTTTGGGTAGATTGTATTGAAAAGTGTCTTCATAGTGTGCGAATGTGGTTTCGCTGCATTGGCCTGGAAATTTTTGATAATTTTTCAAACTCGACTGCAAAGCGAAACTCAAGTTGCTTCTGAGCTCTGAAGGAAAGTGCTGTGGATTCTAAACCTGATAAGCTACACATTTGAAACTTTTTTTGTAGATTTTTCTGAACAGGGTCTTTACAATGTGCTTTTGCTTCGCTGGCTTTGGCACGAAATTTTTGAGAATTTTTTAAGTTGCTTATGAGCTTTTAGGTTCTTTATGTCGGCTTTACAACTTTTTTTTACTTCGCTCTTCTACTTTTGGAGCTACAGATTTTTTGGTTGGGGTGAAACAGTTATAAACTTGTATCTGAAAAACTTAACGATAAGAATAAATCGTAGACAAAGACATTTATTATTAAATTAAGAGTAAGTAGGTATATATTGAAAATTTACAACTGTATTTATTGTTATAAAATTTATTTTCATTTTAAATGGGCAGAGACTTATGGCGAATTTTGCAATTAATAGTAAATTTCATTCCGATTTAGAGCCTCATGAGAAAAAAGTGTTTGTGATGGAAATGCAAAGAAACATTTGATTTTTCTTCAAAGACTSAAAAACTTAAATTTTTTCAAACGTGTAGGTACTCTCTATTAAAACAAGCGATTTTTTAAATAACCTTTTTTCCTTTTAAAGGAATATTAATTTTARGCTGCTAACGCACTCTTTAATCGCTGAGRAAATTTAAATTTATTACAAAAATACAAATTGAAATAAAATTTGTTTGTAGATCTTTTTGGATTTTTGTCGCCTTTTTCCTTAAGTGTAGGCAGTAATTTTTGTCCAGAAATTTGCAAAAAATCGTACTTTCTTTTATTGAGGTACAGGATGGTCCATGTTACACTTCACCAATTTTAATAAGTGAAAAATCATCAGAAAAACGGTAGACTTTCTTTTCTTGCCAAGGATCAAAGTTTGAAAGAAAAATAGATTTTGATAATTTTCAAACTATTGACTTAATTTGCATCAAATATTGGGATTGTTTTTCGGAAACAATTTGCATTTAGGCCTTCGATTCTGAGATTTAAAAATTAAAGTTCGTTTAGGATCGCGCCCGTTTGCTTTAGAGTTTGAAACCACAAAGTCAAGTAGTTGTGGATGTGCCAAAAAATGTACAATGAGTAATTTAACTTAATGTATTTAAGTAATTTAATTGGAATAATCACAATTTGATGTGAATTCAACGAATGGTTCAAAAGTTAGGAAACATCGGCGAGAATATTTACTAAACTCAAAGTCCGCTTTATATTTTATGGCCTTTCAGCCATTAAAATTACTGTATAAAGAACATGTAGATACTTATTTTTGATTTGATATCACACGAGAATTTAGTGAGAGTGAATTTTTGATCGCGTCCTCGAATCCTAATTGGGTCTGATGAAGAACAGATCGAGTTGTTAAATGAAAAATCAGAGCTTTTTTTGCACAAAAATATTTTAAAAAAGAAGCACTGAACTTATGAAAATCCTTCAGTAGGCTATAAAATATATCTATATTTTTAAATGTTTGAATTGAAGTGAACGAAGTTTTCTTACATAGATTTATTCCAATTATTTCAAAACATTTAAGCATTTTTTGCCCGAAGTTTGTTCTACATTAAACTGAGAAGCAAAAGCTAAGTGAAATCAGTATTAGTTCAAAAATGAAATTCGTAATTTTTTGTTTAAATGTTCCATTGTTAAAAATCACTAAGAATATGTTTGTAAGTAGAAAACTTCTCTGTACTTTTACACTTGTTACGGGTGCATATCATTTTGACTCCATGGCCGGATTTTGAACAATTTCTTCAGTTAAAACCGAAGAAAGAACTTTATTTTGTGTTTTTTGGAGCAAATTAAATATTTTTTTTTGGTAGGAACGTGCTGATTTAACTCACCAATAATTAGTTTCGTAGGTACACAGCAAACCAAATGCTGTGAGTGAAACCTTTCTCTGAAAATTATCAAAATTGAAGCGTTGATGTTTATACATCTCCAAACTGAGCATTTGTGTGGATTGTTCTCATAAAATTTTCGGTCTTAAGAAAAATTACTTAAGCACAAAAAATCATTACAAAAACCTGCGTGAAAATGACGTGTTTTGCCATATTTTTTTCACATTAGTCTCCGGACTATAGTGATGATTAATGGCCGCTAGACTCAATAGGACAGTACCTACACATCTCAATCTGAGCCGCCGCATTGCAAATTAAACTCAGAATAATCCCATAAATAATGTGAAATGGTAATTAAGGCAAGAGCGACACGAAAGAGGCATTTAATCGTCTCGGAAAAAATAGCCTTGTTATAATTAAATCAGATCTCGGTCCATTATAGCTATAAAATGCTGGCCATAAAAACCGGAGATATTGTAGTTGACAGGGGCATTAAATAAATTAAATTAGCGGTAGCCCCGCCTAGAAGCGCGCGCACGCTGAGGCGGTACGTAGTTTAATTGTGGAGAAAAACAAACGTTATAGTTAGACCGAGGCATGTTATTTTCTAAAGACTGCCGCAAATTGTCCACCAACCTGTTTATCTTGCACTTATACAAATCGTAAAAGTAATATCCCAACGTTTATGGAGTTAAACTGGTTTTTTTCTTGTTGGCAGGAGAGGTGAAAATAAGAGGCCGTCCCACCTCTTATTGCCATTTCGGTTGTAACCGCCGGCCAATCGCGAGCGAGCTTTCAAGCGTCGGGCGGCAACGCGCCAGGCCAATCCAAGCGCGGCACAGCCTCTTTACCTTTTGTTCCATTCCACTAGCCCCCCACTACGGGGATTAGACAACTTGCCGGGTATTCGACTTATTAACTCGAGAGTTCCGACAGCGGTAGCACGTTTTACTGTAAATTAGTCTTAAAAAACGCTGTTAATGTGTCCAATTAGGGCGGAAGAGTGCGGATCGCGTAAATAACCAGAGTGATCATGTGGCAGTACACGTAACAAACTCAGGGGGATAAAGACTGTAATCGCGTTAGTGGTGCAACAATTCCCCAGCGGTTTGGAGCAGTTAATCATGATGCCTTTGGCACCGACTCCAGTTCTTCCAGTGCCATCCAAGCCGAAAATCGGGTTCTCGATCGATTCGATAGTTGGAGGCGCGACCGGCCACAGTCCCCAAACATCCCCAGTGCACTATTCGGAAAGTTCAGCACCGTTGTCTCCCTCAAGCGATGCGGATCAGCGGCTAAACGGCTCCCCAAAGAACTATTCGCCCCAAAGATCGCCGATGGGGTCACCAAAGCCGCCGATTATGGTTCCGGGCATTCCGGCGCATAGTTTGGTGCGACCGAACCCCACTTACGATCCCAATTTGGTGGCGAAAAATGCCTTTTTGCAGCCGGAGATGATGCATAATCATACCGGGCAGCATCCGTTTGCGTTGGCGCATTTTCAGGGAGCCGCTCTGGCTGCCGCCCTGAGCGGACAACACGGATTTCCGGGACAACCTTCACCTCTTACCACACACACGCCACCGAGGGATAGCTATCCTTTGTATCCGTGGCTCATCAGCCGCCATGGGAGGATCTTTCCCCATCGATTTCCTGGTGGTAAGTCCCTGTCCACTCTTACCGCACTTGTCAACCCCGGACACCTGAAGACCAAGGAAACTCCAGCAGTTTAACCGTTTGAGGATGGCGTTCTCATACACGATATTTTCAATAGTTCATTTTCAACATTTCCAGAAAGAAAAACCTTTAGTTTAGTGCGATTTAAACAACGCTTTGGCTTAATCGTAAATAAGTCCATGAAAGTCAAATCTGGGCTTCTAACCGGCCGATCGTCGGCTCCAATTGAAAGTTTTTTTATGGAAATAAAACATTACTTCAATTGCTGGCCAATAATCCATTTTTTCGCTTCCTTTCTGCTCTCAATTGACGGCTTTGTCACATTCTGTAGCCCGTTTTGCTTTATCTGTAGGTACCGTTTTGTTCTATATCATCCTCAGGTATCTCAATATTTTGCATTCAAATTACCAAATCAAAATCAATTCCTGGGCTTCAGTCATTTATTGTCTCTAATTATCAATTAAAATACGTTTCGGTGTTTTCCACCATCATCAGTTTTTATGTGTAGCGTTGTGTTACTACTTTAAGCCTTGGCATATATTTGGTCACCAACCCAAACTGATGATGGTGGAAAACACCGAAACGTATTTTAATTGATAATTAGAGACAATAAATGACTGAAGCCCAGGAATTGATTTTGATTTGGACTTGAAACTCAGTCAGGAAAGTATGTACAATTCAAATTACCCAGATAGAATTGCACTATTCAAATAAACACAAATGCAAAGGACTACCGATGCATGCAAGTTTAGTAGCCATTTGAATCATTCTCTAAATTAAATGGAGTCTCTCGAATTAACTTGATTAACTTTTGAAAATATCTCGAGTTAATTACCTATACAACGCGAAGCGATTTCCACATGAGCGCAGAGTAAGAAAAGAGAAAATTCGAATTAACGACGACAACGAGCGATATAAAAAATTAACAAGATCTAACTCATATCAAAAGTAGATGTAACATGAGGCACTTTTTAGGCTAAAAGATTTCGATTTCCTTGGCGTCGTTTCGAAGCCAAACAATTCAATGTAAAGAGAAACTAGCATTCGAATGATTCGATTATGCGACGACTCGATTTAATTTCAGTAACTTTTAAAAATATCTCGAGTTAATTGTCCAAAGCGATTGCGTTGTTCGCGTGAGCGCAGAGGGAGAAGTTGATTAATATCCAAGAAAAGTAACACAAATTCTCTGAATCAAAGCAGTTCGAATTAAAAACGACGATAAAATTGCATGCAGATAAAGATACGTAAAACCGAACTGATATCAAATGAAGATGCAACTTGAGACACTTTTTGAAGGGGAAATATTTCGATTTTCTTCATTTACTTTTGGGTCATTTTGAGGGAAAACAAATGCTAAACATAAACTAACAAAATACTAAATTCTTAAGCAGGAGAATGATACAAAGCGTTCATCAAAATAATTGGAAACCCAGTTTACTGAGCAAAAATGGACATTTTCAAACCGATTTTGCTGTTCTTCAATAGTTTTTTAAATATCATCATTATCTCGATAATGGCTCTAATAAGTACATTTCTTGGCGTTTTCTGTATTCAATCAGTATACATTTTACATACAAATTAGGTATATAGAAAAATCAAATTCAAATAAGTCGATTATACAGCGACTTGAATTAACTGGAGTTTCACATAAGCGCAGAGGGAGAAATACGACAGAAAGCGATAAAATTTCACAAATTTCTTGTTTTAGATACTTTTGTGTCATTTTGAGACTAATCGCTTCAATGTAAAAAAGGAAACGAATGCCATACAGAAACAAGCAAAAACTCAATCTTTAAGGAGAAAAATGATCCAAAGCATTCGCCATAATAATTTTAAACGCGGTTTAGTGAACAAAAATACACACTCTGAAATGGCCGTCGCAATATCCAGATCTGAATCCGATCGAGCGACTTTCGCATCACTTGATCGGCACTTAAACGCACCCAAAAACATAAAAATCTTCCAGATTTGTTATCGAGATTTGTAGTAGTGTTATTACATTCATACTTCACAAAGTTATATTAGATTAGAATCATTCGAATTATTATTTCGATTACTGTTAATATCCCCATTATAAGACCAATTCTGAAACCTTTTAACTAATTCTTTTTAGCTTTAATATAATTCAAAAAATATATATGTTTTGCGTCGGATTATGAAGTTAGATTAATGAAGCATCATTGCAAGCGACCCTAATGAACTACTTTTCATAATCAAGAGCAAATTAGCCCCACATTTAGGGACATAATGGCGGCTTGATAGGTTAGAAGCAGTTTTCATCCGCTGTCTTCTCAAATGCCATTCTTGTCAAATGACTACTAGATCAAATAGCCCCAACTAAGTGGATAAAAAACGCAAACGTGATAAGAACCGCTCGACGATTTTAAAGATCTTTTGGTTTTTGTTACTGGAACAAAGATGCATTTTAAACTTTTAACCTCTAAAATTTTGTTATTGGCTAAACTGAAAGGTGCGATTGATTATTCTCGAGTCTTGCTATTGGCTGTCCGCTTAAGGTTAACAATCAATGGTTATTTTATTGGTCACAACTTTACATTTAATCTACGAACTGACGAAAGCACCTTTGTAGAAGCATATTTTAGTCCGGGCGCTAGCGTAGGTTCGAAGCAATACCTATGTGTTACCACAAAAAATTACTTTTAATTTACTAATCTAAATTGATTTTTTTATAGAAATGATTTTGTCAATTTGTCAACATCGCGGTTAGTATTGAACTTTTAGGAACCAGACATAAAGAACTGTATGGTTTTGAACATTCGGGTACATAACTGATCCAGGAAATTCTATCCAATTTGAGAATCTGTACATGGATAGAAAGCCCTTTTTTCTCGGAAAATCAAATACAGCAGAAAATAAACACCCGCGCACAAAATCTGAGATAACAGAAACTAAATGGAAAACACTTGATTGAGTTATGAGGAAGTCATTAAATTGCCTGCTAACCAACAACCTCCACTAGGTGCCCGTTGACCAGTAGATCAAGCGCCTCTGATTTATCCTAAACAGTATAATTTTCTGTAAATCTAAAGTATACAGTTTGTTATATTAAATAAGTCCGTGAAACTCAAATCTGGGCTTCTAACCGGCCGATCGTCGGCTCCATTGAAAGTTTTTTTTATTGAAAATGAAACAGATTATTATATTCCTACATCGTTTACATACACTTTTGGAATCTGCTTTTGCGCTTAATCAATAAGAACGTTTGGATTGATTAATTATTATATAATTAAGACAGTCAACGATTATTTTGATAAACACTTTGGGGCAATTAATTGAAAAGTTCAACTCAACAATGATTTAAATAAATATTCGACAGCGGAAACGAACAAACAAAACGACTAAGAACTAATGACGCCAAACTTTTATTTAAATTCTTTAATGATTACATATGGGCGAAACGTGGATTTTATTGGCCGTTTCCTGGTCACTTAGAATTCATGCCACATTTTCTTCAGTTATCTGGTTAGTTGAAAAAATGTCTTTAATTCAATTCAATCAAAAGTAAATTGAATTTTTAACTGCCGTTTTAACTGCGCATGTTAGCCATTCGTTCATAACAGTCTTGGATTCATGCGCGCTAGACTATAGTAGGTATATAGCGTCTTTAATGCTAATTTTCTGCCTTAAGATGAATTACCTATTAGCACACGAGTAGTTTCATGATCATAAATTCATTTAAACCGTAACATTTAGCGTGTTTTACCTAAGATGATTAGAGTAATTTTTAATCAGTAATCGAGTTTAGGAAAACCAGTAATAGTTTAATTAGTAATAATCAGCTTAGTTGGGAGAATTGAAGGGAAAAATGCCCGCAGGAAGAGCCCGGCTAAAGACAGACATTACGGCAATTAAGGATTGTTAACCCGATAATAACACAATGTTACAAAATATACCAATTATGATATGACGGATGCATTGAATGTCAAATCAGCTTTGCCGTCTAGTAAGTGCATAAGTTGTAATTAACATGTTTTACGTTACGGTGCATCTGTATTCGTTGCAGTTGGAATAATTACTAGGTTAGATGCCGCAGGGTTGGATTGCAATAAAAGTACATCTTTTCCACCTTTATCCACTGAATTAATTGCCTTATTCATCGTGTGGTTTTTGAATGAAAATTAGAGTAATTTCAACAATAAGGCACAATCATTAATGATTTATCGGCACAGTTTTAAAAATGATGAATAATTAGCCTGCCAACGCAAAGTTGCCAACAGTTATTAAGATATGATGAACTCATCAAAAGCAACATTAAATTTTCATTGGACGCATGGTGACTTCGGTCTACTCGCAAGTAATTAACGTGTTCGATGTTACGCAACATGTGCATTTCAGCTGGTTTAATTGCTACATTTTAGGGAAAGTTAGCGACAGACGCAACGTAAAAAGGGTTGAAAACCAGAGGCGTATTTTGTACTTTTCAGGTTGGCTTTGCACACTTACGGTTGAAACTACAGAGTTCACTATCTTTGAAGATGGCCGGAAAAACTTCTTGTAAAAATCTACATTATTTTACCTATACCTACAACCCAAATGTAAAACGATTGGAATTAATAACGTTTTATTAATGTACATTTCATTAGCGACCCCAAAGCCAATATTCATGGAATTACCAAGACGTTGTTATCATATTTACATTCGAATTGAAATTCAAGTCACTTGATCATAGGAAGGTATTTAAAAAGAACCATAAACCAAACTTATTGCTTAGTAGAATTTTATATGTATTCAAGACGAAACGCTCTTAAATGTTCACGGGCTACCTAAATAGAATTTTAATGCTGTCCGCAACTAATTTTATCAAGTACAATGCCCATATTTTATAAGTTGTTGCTCGATAATGGTAATTTTGATTTTACGATCGATGAAAAACGATTATCAAATACTTCGGGTGTTGCACGTGAAACTTTTCCTTCTGGAAAATATCCCTTTTTCTCAGTTTATTGTGTACCTACTAC